GGGTGCAAAGAGTGTGTACTTAGGCATAAGTCAATGATCAGAAGTCTACAAGCTCTATTCAGTTCTTCGTCCATCTACCGATTCCTCGCATAAACAAAACTGGGTACTTTTTCAACTCTTCTGGCAACCAAGTTACCCCTAATGCTTAGAAGAGACAGTAAATAAACTATTCGAGGAAATGAAGATTGAAAAAGCGCAAAAAGCCAAGAAGAAATTACATGAGATTGTCACAAGGTGTAGCATTTAGTGGATAGTGTGGCAAGCGGTGATAACGTTGATGATGCCAACTGATATACCAATTTATTCGTTGCTGGTTTAAACTATGTAGATTGAAATGGAAAGCTCCATTGCTTGAATTTAACCCGGAATTTCCTTCTCTAAACTTCAAATACTAAATGCGGAATTAGCCTACATTATTGTGAGACATGATCGGCAATTTACCCAAGCTCTGACAGCTAGCACTTGTGCCACTGTTGATTGCACAAACACTAAAACTTCACGTTGACACGCGCTGCGTGCCGCGTACGCCGCGTAATTTGGCTCAGTCCTAACCAAAACCTAACCGCGTCTGCCGCTGCTCAATCCTAACCAGAACCAAAGTCAAAGACATTAGAAAGTAAGAAAGATTACAGAAATCAATTTCTTTCAATCTTACAAGTCTTAAGGCACTGGTATGCAGTATGCATACTGAGAGTTTTGTAGAATGCACAACACTGAATTTTTTAGAAAAAATGATTTTATTAGGTAATTTTGGGCAGTACAGTTCGCTCAATTCTGGCCATTTATGGCCATGAAAATGATTGGAATTGTTAAAAGCTTATGGTACTGATTCGTTGATTTCTGTTGTTGTGTTTCATCGCATGGGCACGCCTCTGCAACAAATGATAATAGTAATGTTTGCGCACCGATCCTATATTAGATTGTCACCTTGATTCTTGCAACATTTCGTTTGTGAAGCACATTTGCTCAAAGAGAGGATGATCTTTGACTTCCGAAATCACTCTCTTCAATAAGATTTCATAAAAGATTTTCGAAAATTATATTAGAATTTAGTGCTTTCCAAGCATATTTTAGACTTTTATTGAGACAAACAGCATGGAAGTGCCAACTTTTCTGGAGCTCGAAATGGTGTGAAAGCATGCGATTAATAATATCCTGTAAAGAGTATGTTTTTCTTTTTAATTTCTTGATCGAATTCTTAACCTCTCATCGGACGTTCCATCATTTCGCCGTTACGGTCCTCGCCTCCAAATCCATGACTTCCGCTGAAACTGTCTCCTCCTCTGGGTCTATGCGTGCCGTTGAAACGGTTCTCTCCTCCAAATTTATGACTTCCGCTGGAACGATCTCCTCCTCTGGGTCCATGCCTGCCGTTAATAGGGTCTTCTCCTCCGAATTGTTGTCTACGGTCTCCCATTCCTGGTTCCATTCCTCTTGGTCCCATCCTTGGCTTTGTATCCGGACTCCAAGGCATTTCCTTTCCATCATCACGCGTTTCCATAGCTGCTTCTTGTCCCTCAGCCAATATTTTTT